CAGTAACCGTATGGCGGCGTGAACAGTACCCGGCTGCGTGAACAGTGCCCGGCTGCGTGAACAGTACCGTAGCTTCACTATTCATTTATAACAATATGCACATATATATGTATAAGTATGCATGCAATATTTTATATTTTATTGACGTGTTAATTTTTTTTCTAATAACATAGTGTTCACAAGCTGTCATTACTTTTTTTTTTATAATCTATAAATTCACCGAAATTTTGATCCAATTACCTCTTATAAAAAATTGGAAAAGTTCGAATAAATATCATTTTCTACATTTGAATTTAAACAAAAAACATATTAAATTTGTTATGAACGCTTTTGGTTTTAGTTTTTATTTGTTATCATGTTTTGACTCAATTTTGTGAAATTTAAAAAAAAAACAAAAAATAAAGAAAAAAATAAATAATCTTTTTGTTTTTTTCACGCTTTATTCCCTTTTGTCCCCTCGACAGGTCAAATTTACGTGTCCGACCACAGAATATTTACAGCCTATTTACGTTCACACTCGGACTATATATATACATATATAATTTTTAATATAGTGAAGTATTTTTTTTCTTGGTTGAAATAGTAAAACTGTTTATATTATGTTTTCTTTTAAAATTTTATATTATATTTTTCCTTGGTTAAACCGGTTCACTACAAAATATAATGAAGATTAGATAATATAATCATATATTCATATCTTGATAAATGTACGGTTAAAAAATATTCCCATTTTTACTGCTTTTTATGCATATATACGCATATTTTTATGCTTAAACACATATATATTTCATATGTTTAAATTTGGAAATAAAAGATTAAGAGAAGTGAATTTGATTAGTTTGTGAATAAATCATTTTTATAATTAAACACATTCGATTATGTTTTTGTAGCTGTCCACCAATCAAAGTTATTATCTTCGGAAACTTGACATCGCATTCTTAAAAAAATAATGTGTTCTTAAAAGTTATTGGATTTTATAATTATTTTTAAGAGCTAATTGATTTTATAAAGGAATATACTTTGTCATTCACTTTCTTTTCCAAAATAAATTTCCTTGAAAATATTTTAATACTTTAATTATTTGGGGTCCCATTTGCAAGGAGTTTTTGGAGTCATTATTGATTAAAAAAAATGAATTATTTCCTTTTCATGGGAAGGAATCTCTACGTAGAAACGTCGAAAGACAATTCATGACGTGGCAGTACCTTTGTAGACATAATAAACTAATAATAAAGATCTTATAAATATTAAATAAATTTTTGTATTATAAAAATATTTAAAATAATATTTACTGTATGGAGGAGGAGGGCAAAAAGGGGAAGCTCGCATGTAAAGAACGTCCACGTGTGCGGCCAAAACGCGGTCTAAAGGAAAGGAAGAAGCGTTTCAAAGAAAAAGGAAGAATCTCCACGTCCACGCGTTTTGCTCGCGCGTGCATATTACGAGTTTTGATATCTATAGTTAAAATCCGTATAAATGTATCATTATTATGTTTTTCCATTTTCTAATGTTACTATAGAATACTATAATCGTGGAATGTTTGAATACATTTACTACATAAATAATTAAAATAAAAATCATTTTATGTAGTTATAATTTTGAAAGATTCTGAATCAATAAAAACAATGTTTTATATAATATTTAAAGAAATTTGTTCACATCATTCACATGAGATTTTAATTTTTTAAAAATACGAAAAAAATAAAAATGCAGTACATCATTCATAATATGTTAATAAGGTTTTAACAAAAGTAAGCCATCTAATTTTGAAATCGTAGGAATATAATAAAATAATAATTTCAACTATTGAACTCATGGGAATATAAATTTGTTTATAAAGTGAACTTTATATTCCCACCACCTTGGGTTATCAATTACCAAAAAAAAAAAAACACATTACGTGACATTATAGTAATCTAAAAAATATGTTAATTTTCGTAAATTTTAGTTTTTTATCGAAGATTTTTGAAATTCTTGAAAGGCCTTTGTTGTAGACATTTTTCTTCCCATGCATTAAAAATCATATCTCAATACAAAAAAAAGAAACAAAATTGCATAGTTATGCATTAAATTAAAACAAATTCATAAATATAAATGCGCGCGCGTGAGACAAGACATGGCGAGAGCGAGTCGACCAAGTAAACTCCTCCTCCAACCACATCACTACTCTTAACCACTACGAAATTTCCCTTCTATAATAATTTATTATTATTACATTTCCTTTTTCACAATTTATATATTTAATAAAATAAATAATCAAAGATGTATCAACCAATCAAGATTTGGAAAAAAAAAAACCCAAAAAATAGAAAGACCCCGATCAACCCAAAAGTCCAAAACCCTGTATCCCTCTCTCTCTCTCCCCCCCCCCCAAGAAAACGACCGCCAAAAAAAATCACCTCTCTATAGACTCCTTTTGATCATCAAAGCAGAATCGTCACTCCTGCTTCAGCAAAATCATTAGGGTTTTGGGGGATTTCCTAGGGGGTTTTTTGCGTGGGAAATAGATCACGAAGTCGAGGGATAAATTTTGCTTGATCGGAGGAATCTTTTTTTTTTTTTTTTTTTTTTTTTGTAATGTTGTTGTCGAATAAGATTCTCGATTTCTCTCCATGAGCACTGTCGCCTGGTTCTCTTTTGGGTTTTCAGAGAATCGGCAAATGAGAAGTTCTGGCTTTGTTCTTCTCAAGCTGGCCTTGTTCTTCTTTGGTTCGATTTCCATAGGTACGTTTCCGTTTTTGTATAATTCGATCTCTTCAGTTGGGCAGTGAGCTTGTGTTTCTGTGTCTACTGGGTCTTTTCAGAATTTGTGAAGGTGCAATCTTCTGGATTTCCATGGGGATTTAATTCGGTCTGGGGCTTGAATCTGTACTGGGTTTCTTCCAGATCCTTTTGAGATTTTTGTTTTTGTGATTCAAATTTGTGAGCTCTCTGATTGAAGGATTCTTTTGGAGGCCGGATGGATAGATTTGAATAGTTCATCCTCACTTGAATCAATCTAGAACATATATCGAACTTCGGTTTAGTGTAAAGGTTGAAATTCTTGGCTTTGTTGCGATCCCATTAGTACCAGTTCAATGTTAAACCATTAAGTTGACATCTATGGGGGTTGGTTAAGTTTAACTCTTATTTGGGTTTCTGAAAGTTCAATTCTTTCTAAAAATAGTCTTGTTGTCATGAAGATTAGTTTAATGCTTGAATCTCTTTGGAGCTTTGCTTGACGAAAATCATTGCTTCATCTCATCTCATTGCATCCGTGGTTTAGTTTGCGCTTACCCGAGAATTTCGTGTTTTCCAGAGTCTCGAGTTGTGGGGGCGTTCGTCGGAACCTACGGGATAAATTACGGGAGGATTGCAGACAACATCCCTTCCCCGGATAAAGTAGTCTTACTGTTAAAGCAAGCCAAAATCCGAAATGTCCGCATATACGACGCAGATCACAGTGTTCTCAAAGCCTTCAGCGGGTCCGGTCTTGAACTCGTGGTTGGACTTCCGAATGAGTACCTGAAAGAGATGAATTCAAATGCTGATCACGCGGTTTCTTGGGTCAAAGACAATGTCCAGTCTTTCCTTCCCGAGACCCGGATCCGTGGGATTGCAATAGGGAATGAGGTTCTTGGAGGTCCTGATTACGAGCTATGGGGAGTGTTACTAGGTGCTGCAAAAAATGTATATAACGCATTGAAAAAGCTAAACTTAGAAGATACAGTACAGATCACGACAGCTCATTCACAGGCCGTGTTCTCAAATTCATACCCGCCTTCGTCTTGCGTGTTCAGAGAGAATGTCGTTCAGTTCATGAAGCCGCTCTTGGAGTTCTTTGACCAGATTGGCTCTCCTTTCTGTTTGAATGCCTACCCGTTTTTGGCTTACACTTATAATACAAAGGACATCGATATCAATTATGCTCTCTTCCAGCCGGCCAAAGGGATATATGACCCGAAAACCGATCTGCATTATGACAACATGCTTGATGCTCAGATTGATGCGGCCTACATGGCACTTGAAGACGCTGGGTTCGAGAAAATGGAGGTTATTGTCACTGAAACCGGGTGGGCATCTAAAGGAGATTCAGATGAACCCGCAGCCACCCCGGAGAATGCGAGAACATATAACTATAACCTGAGAAAGAGGCTTGCAAAGAAGAAAGGGACACCTCTTAGACCGAAAAGGGTCTTGAAAGCATACATCTTTGCCCTCTTCAATGAATATCAGAAGCCCGGGAAGACTTCGGAGAGAAACTTTGGACTTTTTAAGGCCGACGGAACCCTATCTTACGATATCGGTTTCCACGGTCTGAAATCCGCTGCTTCAAGATCGCTACTTTCGCTATATAAGGTATGACTCGGAGTCTGTTTGCCCTCACTGCTAGCTATCGTTGATTAGGGTACGTGGTAACACGGCCCGAATAGCCGATATGTACGTATACCGTGTCTATGTATCGAAAGCCATGACGTTTTTCCGAGCTTCTAACAATACCCAGATGTCTGATAAATTCTCCACGGATGTTTATTCGAAATCTCTCCGGCGTTTATACGCAAAAAACGTTCTTGAAATCTTTACTTGTGGCTTGCCTTTTCCGTGTATTGTTGCAGGACGTTTCTACGCTGCTCGTCTCTGGCTCAGCGTTGCTCCTTTTGTTAAGACAATAACCCCCGGAATTGTATGAAGTTTCGGCTCATGGATGTTTTGCCGAATGCATTCACGAAATCAAACGGTGGCAAATTGGTATGGTAAGTGCATATTAGGTTTCTTGCATTGATCAAAGAGTACATAGAGAGCAAAGAGGAGATCTGAGTTATACACAAAACGGTTTGTAACAGTGTCGATTGTTTCGGCCAAATGGTAAGTCGCAGTTTCGATACGTCTTTTTTCTTCCAGCGATGGATCAAACCCGTTTGCTCGATATGAATACCCGTGAACGTCGTTTCATTACATTGGTAACAAAGAAGATCAGAACCCTACAAGTTAACTATAAAGAAGAAGAAATCATCTTTTAATTTCATTACAAAATGCCCTGTCTTGATAGATATTTGATCTTCGTATTCGATTTGATTCGTTTATATCACTTTACCATAACTAGAAATCTGTTTGGAAAGGTCGGGTTGATATACTCGTATTACCGCAAAAGCTATAGCTATGACGTTTAGGACAAATGTGTCGAATATGGCTTAGCAAAGCTACCCGATTTTTGCGTAAAATCGGGTACTCGGACAACGATGGGGACGAGTTTGGATTCGGTGAAATAGAATACCTTACCTTCAGGCTTCGGGTTCAGATTTAGGTTCGGATTCGTCTCTCTCAAGAGGACTTGTGACCTAAAAGAACACTCCTCAAATGTTATATGACTGGTGTTCATGGTCATATGAAACACTGTCATAATCGACTTTATCGTCTTTTCCCGTGTTTTCAGAAAACTTCCCGCAAACTATATATCGATTTACCGTCTTTTTCTTGTCTTTCTGGTAGAATCAGAAATCAGTAGGAATTTAAGGTCTCACACCCAAAGCATGAAAATTTTAAGTACCTTGAGTGAAGCTTCCATGAAGAATCTTTTGACTGTTCTCTCTGCTATGTAAGAAAACAAATGAAGAGTCTCATTGACGATCCATTAGTTGTCCTTCCTGCAAAGATCACATGAAAAGGAAGACACACAGAGAATTTAGACAGATGACAGGGACAGATGATCATCGTACACCGAGGAGAGTGGACAATAGCATTATCACTCTTGTCTCCCACATTACGCTCCAGGGGGGGTCTCGGCCTTTCTCGTCTTCTCCTGTCTGTATCATACATCCACTCGAAAACGTCGTGTCCTACAACATAAATGCAGAAAATTAAATGTCTGGTACTTGTAAAAGCATAATAAGCGTATATGGCGACGGAAATGGACAAAATCAACGTGAAAAATTATGCAGACGTCGCTCTCTCTTGTACCAAAACCCTCCTAAGTGTCGAGTTCTTGCGTAGATGGGCAGAATGAGAGCCAGATTTCTCCCTGAATGCTAATGAAAACAAAGCTAGAATTGCTTGATACAATTAAACAGACAGATTCACCGTTCAGCGAGTAAAATTTTCAGTCGGGTCACCGATCTCGGTCCCTAGAACCAATCCACAGCATTGTATGAAAATCATTTGACATTAAAAAATGGGATAGGCAGAACAAGTACAGTCATGATATGGATTACAAACCTGGCCTTCTTTACATGGTTGGCAAAACTAACCACCCTTAAAGGGTGTCTCTAAAACATTGCTTTTCGCTTTTTAATGCTTAAATCAGAATTCTGACCTTCGTGATTTGAGAACCATTGGCCCCGGTTTGATCCAAAGACACCATTCTTCTTCATCCCAGATAGAAAACATAACTCTTCTTTTCTTCTTGGGTAATGTTGACTAGACCCGCAATCTCTTTCATTGCTACACCCCACATCTTCTAGGAGGGAAGCCTTTTCCATTCTTGCGCACGGCTCGGGAGATGGACCAAGCCTCAAAGACAAATCGCAGATTACCTTAGTCCGTTTATCCAGGGTTTCCTTCAGTTTTGCTTGTTCTGTCTCTCTAGAAGTCAAAGCAGTTGTTGAACGTGAGAAAAGATCTTGAAACCCAGCCTTCTCACCCGGATACGAATCCGGTACACCAATTGGCATGCCAATGATTACGGGTCCGGCACTCGTTTGTTCAATGACACCCGACAAGTTTACTTGCTTATCTGCCCGACTATTAGCCCCGTAATAAAGGGGATAAACAGACCCCAAGGTTACTGGAGCACCAGTGTCTAGTCTAGCCAACTGGTTATGCCCCATCTGCAGTATGGATCCATGTAGAAATGGACGACCACCACAAGGAGCAATAAATTTGTTGTTTTCAGTTGCACTATTATCAGGTATATCCACAGTAATTCCTGCTTTAGCTGAATGGCTCGGTTTATTGGATTTATGGGATTGACAATCACGGTATGGCTCATTAGAAGTTGTATCTGCTGTTCTACCAGGTGCAGAAACTGGTTCTTGAATTCTCGGGGTGAGGTAAGTCCTTAGGTTACTATGCCGTTGGCTTCTTGAAGCTCTCACAGCAACGCATCCGAGATTAAGGGCAGCTGAAACACAACAAAAGCAGATCAGAATACAAAAAATAGAAAGGGAAAGAAAAAAACACTGAAGCTCGCCATGACTTGCATAGAATTACAACTTGAAAACCACTTATGGTAACTAAGAAGCATATCCTGTACTATTTAGAAACTAATTTATATTCAGAAACTCGGATGCCGGATACAGAACGAAACCAAAAGCTCGAGCCTTTAGAGCAGTACGAGGCGAAACACCTTAATTAACAACCAAGACTCTATGGACTATACATCTAATAACTTGGTTCATTCTCAATCTAGCCCCCCTTTTGTACTGAAACTAACCGATTCATGAGAATTTAACTTCCTCCCCGTTCACCTGCCATCAACACTGAAACCTACAGTGGCAAACTCAGGGAAAACATCCATACCTGCCCCATTCCAAATTCATACAATGCATTTGACCCTTAACCGAATAAGAGTAAACATTCATAAAAGCTTAAGATCCTAAAGCAAACAAAAACAATATACCTTCAACACAAGGAGGCAAAAGCTGCCCAGTTTCAGTGCTCTCATCCCTCCTAATGATCGTATCAACAGCATCATTAACCCTATTCCATAGCGTCTCAGCATTTGTATACTCTTCCTAAGCAAACCCATATCGGAAAACCAAATCAAGAAAAACGAATTTGAAAACCAAAACGCGAAAAGAATCGTTACTGGAAATCCAACATAGAAGAATCAGCGAAACCAACCTCTGAATTGGCTTTGGAGTACATGATCTCCTCGGCTTTTAAGACAACCACCGGCAATTTCTCCTGCCATTCCTTGTTCTTCCTCGTCGTCGCGCTATGAGCTTCTCTGACGAGTCTGAATCAAAAGCCGCAGAGAGAATTAAAGAACCCGCCAAACCCAGAATCTCCAGATTTTAAAAAAAAAAATTCTAAGATTTCTGTGAAATGGGCAAAAACCTGAAAATCTGACGGATGAGTGAACCTCTGATGGGTTGGTGACGATCGCTGTGCCAAGCTCGTTTCACGCATTCGTACGGTCTCGGACCAGGCCTCGGCATCTTATTGTTGCCCGTTTATCTTTCTTTTCAGCTGCTGAAACTATAAGCAATGGCAGAGGGAGGATGGAGATGAAGACGACGAAGAGGAGCTGGTGAGAGAGATTAATGCAGTTTTGTTAGAGTGAAAGAGAGGGAGTACTTCAAAAGAAGAGTGGTCTCTTTTCCTTTTATTTTATTTTTTAATTTCAGTTTATTTTATCTAAAATTAAAAAATATGATATTATAATTACCAACCTTGTTATTTAGTATCGGAATAAATCTCGATAATGTTAATTCAAAAATAAATTTGAGAATTATAATAATTGAAATTATAATTACATATTTTGCAAATTTAAAAATAAATTTATCGAACGAAAAATTTAAAAATTAATTTTCTACTATTTTAAAAGTTTTAAATTTCATTATGGGTTTTACTTTAATAATAATGTTATATTGATAGAAATGAAATTGTTTCGTCCTTTTCAATTCTTTTTATCTAAAAGAAAAGTGTACGTGAGAAAAGGTAAAAAAAGAAATGAGGTTGACAATGGAATATTTGCCAAATTTATGCCATGTAACGGAGGAATCATGTCTCTTTAGGGTTTCAAAGGGTTCAAATTTTTTTGGGGTTTAGAGATAAAATAGGATTAAGCAGAAACGTTAGGCTCATAGGCTGGACTCGGTTTTGGTATCCAAAATTTTAGGGTGGTTCGAATATTTTAGATTGAATGATCTCGGATCTACGGGGTTTGATTATCCGGATTTTGGATTTTTAAAATTTTCTTTTTAGAATATGTGTTCCTTTTGATTTCCAATGATACATGAGGATATATTCACTTAGTAATAGCCACAATCTATGGAAGGAGAGAAATGATAGATTGCATCGCAACACTTTTCGGGATGTCCGATACATCATCGGTGAGACGGACAAACTATTTCGGACGAGAATAGCCGCTCTGAGATCAAGCGCTCCTGAACTGTACCAAGGCTACCCACACGCCTAATTGACTTTTGTATCCAATACAAACCTTTATAAAAACGGCAATCCGGTGTATTGTAGGCAATAATATACACATTAAAAAAATCGATATATACAAAAAAAAATATGAAAATGGATATACAAAGATATTAGGATATCTTTCTTTACGCTCTCCCAATATGAGGCTCGTAAGCGAAACCAATCTTGAAACGGAGTAAATCAAACCGAGCTCGAGAAAATGGTTTGGTGAGGTCGGTGGGAGGGATGGCGGAGAGGTTGGTTCCGAGAGATGGGTTGGTGTCGGGGATGCTGCATTAGCCAGCAAAGATTCTCGTTGCGGGAGCACATGTGGAGCAGTGTCAGATGGCGGAGATGAATAGCCACAGACAAGGGAATATGGCAGACATCCTTGTTATCGCATCCTGGTATTTCCATGCTCTCTCAACCGATGATATATTGCGACAATGTACAAACCACATATCTTTGCGTCAATCCTATTTTTCATTCTCGCATGAAACATGTGATTATTGACTATCATTTCATCCGAGGATTGGTTCAAGATAGTACTCTACTGTGTCGCACACATCTCCTCACATGATCAACTTACCAACAATCATCAAAACCAAATCTAAATATTATATAATATCATGTAATATTACATAATTTCCTCTTAATATTACGTAATCTTCTCAAATATTCTCTATCTCTTAATATAGAGAGAACAATCCAAAATATAAAAAATAATTTCTTTGACCTTTTAACTGTAAGAATAACCTTCCTGACTATTCACTTTTTTTAAAATTGGTTAAAAATTATAAATAAAAAATAAAGAGTAAAGATGGATGATTTAACTTGAAAAATAGTTAAAAATGAGGATTTAAATTACAAAATAATCGTTCCCACATCAGAATGACAAGAAGAAATTGAATTGTTCTCCCTACTTTTCATTTTTAATCTTTTAAAAAAAATGATAACATGGATCAGGAGACATGTTCAAGAGAATCAGAAGAATTTCTCACCCTTGGGTTGGGGAAGCCAAGAGGGAGAGTGAGGAGAGGATCGTCTCCTGTGGTTAGGCCTTGGTACGCTCTCCCTAACGCCAACCCCAGTGCCCTTGCAACCGGCACTGCTACTGCATTCCCTACTTGTATGTACCTACAAAAAAAACATTCACATTTGTTACGAAGTATAATCATTTCGGACTGACTCGAATAACATTTAACTGTAGTGACAATGCATTTAAGATGATGAGTTAGTTCTAAAGGAACAAACTCACTTCTCCTTTGGAGGGCCAAAGAGCTTGTAGAAATCCGGGAAGCCTTGAAGCCTTGCGTTTTCGCGGATGGTCAAGACACGGTCTTGTTCTGGGTGTATGATCACCTGTACATATCATAACCAAACCTCAACGAAACAATATCATTCTATTATCATCCAACTTACGCCATTTCATTAACCATTGTAACGTATCGACTTAGCTTCTCATATCCAAATTAAGAGAATGCAAAGACCGAACCTGGTTGTGCGGTTCTGCTCTTGTAACAACGGTTGGCACAGTTTCATCCCACCAAAGACGACCAAACGGTCTACAAAGTAATAGTTTCATATTATCAGAAACCATACAAAGAATAAGAATGAAAGTATGTCTCTGATCCAAACTCCTTACTTCGATGATGTTCCATCGATGAAACTCATAGCATAATCAGGAACCTAATTAACACAAAAAATACAAACGTTTAGCAAAAGAATCATATAGCTAAAGATGAGAGATGCGATAGAGAAAGATATACAAGAGGAAAAACCGAGATGATTCACATTACCAGTGGTTTTCCCGAGTCGAGATAAACCCTCGGGACATTAGGATCAAATTCAACTTTCTTGTTAGGTCCAACGCGCACGCCAGTTAAGTCCCGAAAATTCGCTCCCTGATTATATCATAGGGGGAAAGATGCATTAAGTTGGTCCATCATTAGATTAGAAGCCAAGAAATTTAGTGAGGAACTAAAGAAAAATGTGGTAATGACAATGAGAAAAGAGTATATTATATACCTTCCTCTTGGGGATCTGACAGACACGTTGATAATCGTCCATGTTCAGATTTAGAGGGTGATGGTCATACAGCAAACGCTTTGTGGGCTTGGATTTCAACGATGAACCTAACATTTCTGTGGAGAGAAACTAGTGAGCTTGAACAACCTTGGACAAGAATAATCTCAAATGAGATCAGAAAACCAAATCGTGTTTTCCCGTTGTATGGGAAGATACTGTTGGTTTCAGTGACTCAAAACTAGTGAGTTAGTGAAGAAGTTAGTATGGGAAGCTGCAAAGGAAGTTGTAAAGGTGATAGTTTTGGAGAAGTTACCAACGGTTATTTGTGGGTTATTTGTCTTTAAATACATGTGTTAATATGTGTAGAAGTTTATTGCAGAGAGTTTTCTGTAATCTTTTTTTCGAGAGTAAAAGTATATTCGAATGTTTTGATTTATAAAAGTTAACAGTGGTATCAGAGTGAAAATGATCTTTTTGGGATCTGTGGAAGGGTTCGAAGAAGCGATGTTGCAGAAAATGGTTGAAGACAAAGAACGACGAGTTCGATTCAGTAAGATGTTTTTTAGTAGGCTCTGTTTTTAATACAGTCGAAATATGTTTGTTTTTGGAGAGAGAAAAAAAGATGATGAACTGGAGGAGAGTCGTTGCAACGAAGACGACGATTCTGATGTTGAAGATTGGTGTAAGTTTGTCGAGTTTATGCCTTAATAAGGTAATTTCGGAAATTGCAAACTCGAGGAGCAGTGTGCACTCAAGAAACATATTGGAGAACCCTGGGTGGGCAGCTTTGCGGGAAAAAAAATTGTTGTAGTGTTTTGTGTCGAAGTTTTAAGTTTGTGATGATTATGAGATTTTGAGTCAAGTAGTGTTGGTTTCGGTGACTCAAAACTTAAGACGTTACTGTCGGTTACTTAATATTAGTGAAGAAGTTATTATGGGAAGTTACAAAAGTTGTAATGGAGAAGTTACAAACGGTTATTTGTGGGTTATTTTTGCAGAGTTTTTTGTAATCCTCCTACGAGAGTAAAAGTATATTTGAGTGTTTCGATTTATAAGTTAACAGATACATGTCCAATGCTTTTACGAAAGGACTTACTATGTGGAAAAGGAAAAAACTCATGTTTGCCATTTGAAACCACTAAAAGAAAAATCAAATCAAGAGAATATGTGATTTCCATGATGAATTGAGTTACTAAAAAGAAGAGCAACTTACCATCTTTGCTTAGTCTGATATGCCGTTGAAATGGCGTTTCAGGTTCCTTGTCATATGGAATCTCATCTCGTTTCTCACTGTTCGCAACCTATAAACATAAAGAAAACAATAACATCAGAATGAACAAAACAAGCTTAGCCATTGCGAGTAAAGAGAAGCCACGGGAATTACTGCTGGAAGGTCAGAAATTGCATCCTTGAGTAGAAGCTTTTCTGCCAACTTTACAGTGTGGCCTTCATCATAAGCCACTGTGTTTCCCTAC